AGCAGTTGTAGGCCTCTCTGGAGTACATGGTGGAGGCAGCAGTAAGTCCCCCCACAATTCACTGCTCCTCCCACTGTACCACCTGAGACAGGCTTCATGAAGGCCAGCCCCAGGTACGCAAGTGCTCCTTGGAAAAAAGTTGGGACTCTATGAGAGCAGGTAAAAACCAAGGAAGAGAAAGCTTTGTGCAACATCTGAACCTGGAATTAAATGTTCTCAAGCAAGTTCTGTAAGGCAGCTCTAAGCCAGAATTGTTTTTGGCTTGCTTGGTTGCCCTTAACCATAATCAGATGTTATGCAAAACTGTCATTCCTGGTTTCTTTACCCAATCTTAAGAATGGAGGAGCAAGCAGGGTGCATGCACCAGCACATGGCTTGTGATTTATTAAATCAGAGTTTTGGGGATAAGTGATTTATGTGTTGCCTATAAAAGAGAAAAGAAGACATTGCCAGTTGCATGAATAGGCCTGACATGTGTTAAGACAGGAAGGGAGAGAGGGAGATAGTTAAAAGGTTACTAAAAAATGGGAAACTGTGCTATCAAATGTGCATCATAATCATTTACATAACTAAGCACCATGAAAACATAGAAAAGCCAACATAGAGAATTGGGGGTGCAAGATGTTACACCTTAAATAACTGGTAAGTTTATATCTGAGCTTTTTTTTACCCAGACTCCATTTGTTTGCCAACCACAGGGTGAAAATTACTAGCTTGCAACCATGGGTTTATATTTGTTTTACTTTATTCAGTATCTTCAAGCAGGTAATGCCACTGCATCAGTTTTGCAGGCAGGTTCAGGAGAGAAAATAGTTTAAAGTGCTTGAAAATGCTTTAATAAGCACGGAGGGTTTCAGAAAACTATTTCCTTCCTCAGGAGCCACTTGTCTTTCTCTGCAGATATGTTGAAAAAATATTGATATTTCCTTTGTTTTGAACCTACAGAGAAAGAATCAGTAAAATTTTTCAAAATATGTTTGAAAAATCCTACTAACTGGCCGCAGCTGGTCCCAACTTTCTGAAATATATCAGGCTTATTAGTTCATTTTCAGGCACATGGAGATATCTTCTCTCATTTTGTTTTGTTTTAATTTATGCCTTCTTTCTTGTTGGTCTCCCCACCATAAATATACAAACAAGTATTGTTACACGTTTTTAGTTTGGAATTAGCTATGTTTCTAGAATCTTTTGTCAGGAGCAGGAAGTACTTGTGATTTCTAAATGCCTGCACTGTGGATCTACTGGTTTCATTTAAGATATTGCTTCCCCATTTTAATAGCTAGGTCAAATATTAGAAGTTAGATGCAACATTTTTGTGCTTGCTTTATGTCAGTTCTATGCTGTGTGTTCAGGCTATGGACCTTTTAGTTAATTAAAAGTGGTGTGTGTGTGTGTGGGGGGGGGTGGATGGCATTCTTTTGTAACCTACTTTATTTCACTTCACATTGAAGTTTTGATCTTCCCAGACAAGTCAATATAGAGATGTGTGTTGATTCTCTGAGGGCAGTGGGTGGGCACAGACTCAGATTTAGCCAGGTGGTAATTGGGTACCCAAGTTCGGGAAGGGCTTTGGCTCAGTGGCAAAGCACTTGTTTTGCAAGAGGTCCCAGGTTCAGTCCTTGGGACCCCTAGGTAGGAGTGAAAGCGGCAATGGTTCGTTGGTGTACCATTTCAAGACTGGCAGGATGTGTTTGATTCAACTGGTCCCAGTCAGTATCGTCTCTGCTCTGTGCTGGAACAACGGCAGATTCTGCATAGTCTTCAGAAGCAGGGCCCTGTACAATGCAGAGTGATAATCTAAACTAGAGATTTAGGTGGCTGCAGATACAGTTCTGAAATCTTGGAGAACCACTAGCATCTGACAGCAGAGTAAACCAAGTGGACTAATAGCCTCTCATGTTCTCTCTTACAATACTTTATAATATACCTACTCTGTTAACTCTGTGGGCAGTGGCAACTATTAATTCTTTGAACATGTTAGTAGAGCTGAAGCATCTGATTCAACTTCTCCAATGACCTCTGGAGTACAAGACTACGAAGAGTAAAGAACCTCCGGATGTCAAAGCAGGGAAGCTTGACATAGCCTACCCAGGGACCACATCAGCCACAAACTCATCAGAGGATTTTGTAAATGTCCTTTTAGTGGTGTGGGAGCCACTGTAGTGTGTTGAGCCCTATGAGTCTGATCACAATGGATGTCTTAAGCTATGTGGGAGGATTGCTGGTATAACTCCCTCCTGTGCCTGTTTTGCCCTTTCTAGAAGCCAGAAAAAAATGGGAGTGGGGACACATTGGTGTTGCTCCATCCACATAACCTAGAGCTTCCTAACAGTAAAGTAGGAAAGTCACAAATTGGTAGGGTGGTGATGGGAGGCTCCAAGTGGCCTTGGGGAAGCCACTTTCTCTAGGGTTTCCAGGTTTTCTAAGGTTCAGTGTCTGAGGAGCATGGGGTGAAATATAGGAACTATAGGATAGTGCCTGGCAGAGCAGAGGGTGGTGGGATTAGGAAGTACACACATATAAATATATAATTATAAATAAATTAAAAGTGCAGAACATTTTTTCCATAAGTATGTCTCATCCAATAAAATCATCAGGACTGGAGACTTGGGTTATTTGGTTGTGGAGGAAGGCCTTCAGCAACGTGCTATGTGTTGGTGTTCATTCAAAAAGGGGGCACATCTACCTTCGCTTTTATTTCCAACTATCTTCTGCGATTCCACTTCCTTTGCTAACTAGAAAATAAACAGTATGGTGCTCCATACTTTACTGGAATCCTGTTCAATTGTGTACTTAGGTATCTACTGGATTTGTATCATGTTAGACCCAGTATGAGGACATGCTGCAGGTACATTAAAGCCCTGTAGATTGGTTTTCCTTTAGCATATATCTGAAAGTATTGCAATAATTATATAATTAAATGATTTGGCGAACACATCTTGACAATTCTGTTAACTTGCAGAGTTTCTGATGTGCACCTTTGATCTAAAAGCATTTTTCTTACAACCTTTTTTTTTCGATAAAGCTTTGTTTGGCCAGCTATGTAAGTGCTTATGATGAAGTGGGCATATCATTAGCCTCAATAATGCATAGTATTGTACTTGGATTGTATTGTTATTATTGCAAGTATCTAACGCAGGCACAAATGGATTACAACTGGAGTGCTAAGCAATCCTGATTGGCAGACTATAGAGCTGAGGGAGCCTTGGTGTTGAGTGTAGTTCAGTGGCTTTCACTTCGAAGTATGTTTCAAACTAAGATGTAAAACTGATCAGAGTGAAAACAAACACCAAGGAGGTAGGATAACCTGCAGAGAGGTAAATTTATCCATTGTAGTAGGAAGCTCTTGGGTTGAAGAAAAACCTAGCATTTGAGCAGATGAAATGGCACAGTTTGGAATGCTTTGGCTATAGGGTGTAATAGAAATGAAATAGATGCTGCTGCTGCTGATGGCCTGGGTGCAAATTCCTGCTTATTGAGGGTAGTTTTTCAGTTTGTGCATCTGAAGCTTTTCTTTTAGATCCTGGACAATATATACAAAGATGTACAGAAATAGTCTTTACAGTAAAGTGTCAGAATTTGAGATGTTGCGGGTAGATCTGCTGGACTGGTTTTGCACAAATTTGTGAGGTGGGAGGCAACATCCAGCAACATAAACACATGAGACATCTGCATGAAGTCTTTTGCTGCTTCAGTAATTCTCAGAGGGGCAATTCTCCATCTTGTAAGGGTGGGACAAAATTTTGATGTACTTCACAGGGTTTTTCTGATGACTGCCTAGCCACTATGTTGTTCCTAGAGCTGGATGGATAAGAGAATCCAAATTGCTTGCTTCAGTGCAGGCCACATAATCAGGATACCCCTTTCTTTGGAAGAAGGCCTAAAATTTCTGCTGCATACTGTATTATGCAACCCAAATATGTGGTCCTTTATCTTGTATTATTCTATACTTATTTCAGGAGAAAATAATGTGTTTTTCTTCGTTTGTAGAATACTTTGTAGGATACCCTTGTAACAAAAAAAACTTGTTTGTGGGTATTAATTTTCAAAATATCGGTATAATGCAACCCTTTACAGATCCCAAAAGAACAAATCTATTTGATCCTTCTGAAGGATTTCTGACTGTTCCTAGTTGACCCTAACCTAAGGTCCTATTGCAAAGTGTATAGAGAAGAATGATGGCAGCAGCCATACAGTAGACGAATGGCTCCCTTACATAGGCTTCAACCATTAGACTATACATACCCTGCCCAAACCCAGGGTGAAGTCAATGACGGGGGCAGCCACTCCAAACTTAAGTTTGATATTGGCATCTTTTGGGTTCACCTTTGCTAACCACTTAAGTATTCAGATTTTTTCTTCCCTGATTAATTCTGTCTTATTCCGAGTATGCAGTCGCCTGCCATCTCCATTTATCGTGCATTGCCCTTTCAGCCGTCCGTCCATTCATCTCTTCATTTGTTCGGGTGCACGCGCCTTTTTCACTTGCTTTTGCTAGCTCGCGCGCAAGACTTTAGCTGCATAGCTGTCGCTTGCCCGCAGTGCGCTCAGGAAACCGGCGGTGGCGCTAGCGCCTCCCTTTCTCCCCTCTCTTGCTCTCCCCTCCTCCTCCTCCCCGCTTTCCCTTCCCTTCCCCCTGCCTTGCCTGCCCGGTGCATTCTCCGATTAAAGGGAGGAGGAGGAGGAGGAGGGCAGAGAAGGAGCCCAGCCGCCATTTTTCCCCGAACAGAATTTAGCAGCAGCAAAACAGCAGCAGCAGCGCCACCTCCGCGGCTGCTGCGGCTGCCTGCTGTCCTACCCGAGTGGAGGGTAGGGCACGAAGGCAAAAGGGGGGCGAAGGCGGGGAGAAGGAAACACCGCAGAGATTGTTGCACACTGTGCCCCACTTTGAAGAGGAACGAGAGACCCTCCTTTGCAGTAGGAGGAGGAGGAGGCGGAGGAGGCACCGCAACAGCCGCCGCCGCCGCCGCTGGGGGGAGGAAGGCAGGAGCACCTTTTTTTCTCCCCCCCCTCGCCGCCGCCTCTTCTTCCTCCTTCTCCAGGGTGTGTGGTGTGGGGGTGGTTGCAAAAGAGAAGACAACCTTCCCCCCATTCCCAGATCCCTTCCTTCCCCAGTCCTTTTCCTGCCCGCCCGCCCTCCTTGCCTGCAGAAGAGCAGGGAGCAGGCGGGCAGGGAAAGGAGAGCTGGGGCTGGAAGGAAGGTGGGGGAAAAGGGAGCGCGAGAGAGAAAGAAAGAAAAGCCGCGCCGAGAAGACGACCACGGCGGCGGCGGCGGCGATAGCAGTAGCGAAGGAAGAGGACTCGACGTCGCTCTCTCGCCTTGTTTGCAAACTGCGCCCTTTTTTATTTTTATTTTTTTGCACCGGGCCGGATCCGCCCGGACTCTGCTCTCGGCTCCATCACGTGGTAGGTGCCGCCGCCTGCTTGCTTTCCTTTTGCCTGCCTTGCTCTATCGCTTGCTTGGCTTTCCGTTGCCCTTGCTCGGCCCTTCTTTCCTTGCCTTTGTTAGCGCGGCTGGCTAGCAGCACCCCCGTTGGAGTGCTCGGCGGCCAGAAAACAACTTCTTTGCCCGCTTTCCCTCCCCCGCCCTCGTCCTGGATTTTCTACTCAGTTGCCTTTTAATTTCTAGTCCTAAGATGTATTTATTTGGGTTTTTTGGGGGGAGAATAATATCTTTGTTTTTAAAGGCATGCTATAAACTTCCTTGCCCGGGTTCTTTCTCTCCCGCTCCCAGTGCCAGGCACAGTCAGGTTCTCAATCCTCCATGATGAATATTATTAATTCTCCCCCCCCCCCCGCTACTTTTTCGTTGTTGTTGTTTCTGCGCTTACAACAGTCTGAGGTGTTTGCAGGGTTCTACAGCCAAATAAAATCTCTCCTCCCTCCCCCGTTTAAAAACCCCACAGAGTTTGGTGTAATCGCGCTTTACCAGGTTGCAAAAGAGCTTTCAATCCGTAGAGCTGGCTATAGTTAAGCGTGAGATGAAGGGCAGGGAAAGTACTGAGAGGGGGGTACGAGCTCTGCAGCCGGTCTCTTGTACTTGGGAGTGGGGCGGGAGGGAGAAAGAAAGGGAGTGGGTTGACTTTGTTTAACGTTTGGGAATAAAGGGGCGACCACTCCCGCAGTGCTCACTTTACGGTAGTGTAAAACACTTTGTATATTCGAAGTGGCGTGCTAACCTGTACCATAACAATCGCGGCTCCCTCAGTCTATATTTTTTTCTTTTAGTGCCTTTAAAAATGAGTCTGACTTTGAGACTGGTGTTTGTTGTGCACGCTTAGGCGAAGTATTGCGGCTCCATTGCAAGCGGGAGGATTGGGGGAGGGGGAAGAAGAAGAGAGGCTGGTTTCTGATGGCGCCACTTTAAATTGAAGGCTTCCCCCTCCTTTAGCATAAGGGAGCTTCCCGACCTAAGGATCTTTTCCCTCTTTCTTTGTGTTAGTATGTCTCCCCTCCCCCTCCCCGATTCATAAAACATGCACGCCTCCCAGTTTACTACTTCTCACTAGCATTCGAACGCCGGCGTGCCCCGAAGTTCCATCACAGCCTTCCAAACCCATCCCCGGTTTCCATTCTCAAACGTGTGTTGTGTGCGCGCGCGTCCGTGTTAGAGATTTCGCCGTCACGTGGCTGGTTGGCAGTCATTTTTGTGCGTGCGCGCGTTGTGGTGACTGCTTGCTGCTGTAGGATGGGTGTCGTTGTTTTTACAGTCAACAGTCATGAATTTGACTCCAGCCTCCTCTTCCACCTTTTTGGGGCGGGGTGGGGTGGGAAATCCACACTGTTTTTAAACTTACCTCCCATGTTAATGAGGTGGGGCTTGGAATCTTACACCCAAACAAACTCTTTAAAGGGTTTTGAGGAAATTTAGGCGCACATTGCATAACACTTGTTTTGCATAACTATTATTACATGAGATGTGTTGGACTTGGAATTATTGGGTTGGGGTGTAGAGATGGATCACATGTATCCCATAGTAAGTTACTCTAGTAAACATGGCTTCTGTCACCATCTTACTTACGGTCCAGTGTTCTTGTTTGTTTATTTGTGAAAGCTTTTTGTATGTGAACATACTTTCCCTCCATTTATCAGATGTACACAGTAACCCACTCATTGATGAATTTCTTCTAGTAAACCTACCTGCCGTTTATCAGCAATTACTTAGAATTGGCAATAATATTTTTATTCTTAACTCAAAGTGTGAACAATTAAAGTTGACTTATTTTTTTCTTTACAGATGTCAAAGAGTGTTTTGTAAATAGGGGGTTGGTTTGTGAATTGGAATGTTTGGTCTGCTGTTGGATCAGTTTGAACTGAACTGTATCACTTAACAAAATCTCCTTTCTTCCAGGTCCGGGATATATATCCTTTAAGTGTCCTTTGATGTCAAATCTGTTGCATGTCACAATTTTATTTGTTACTTAGAAATAATTTGAGAGAGAATATTGACTTGTTTGATGCTTATATTCTGATCATTAAATCAGGAACAGTTTGGGTCCCTTTCTCTCAGGCAGTTGCGTCATGTCATGTCATGTGATGCTTGCTCTGTGTCTGATACATAATTCTAAAAATAAAACGTAGGTAAAAAGCACTCCCTCAGAAGTTAAAATGTATTGTGAAAGTGAGGGAGAGTATTTCTTGTTGCGACAGCTTTTCTGAAATTCTAGAAGCAATAGCCAGCCAGTTGATCCTTGTGCAGATACACATTCAGCTTCCTGTGTGTAAGGTAAATATCTGACTTAAACTGAATCAGTCTTAGATTTGACAAGTGTTACTATACTAATAAATTATATATTGAGGCTGCACAGCTAAACACGCTTACAAAAAGGGAGCCTCATTTAACAGTGCAACTTACTCCTGAGTAAACATGCCTTGGGGCTGTGCTGTACATTTAGTTATAGACAATACTCAGCAGAAAATTCTGCATAGTGCTTCTGGATATTTGACAGACATGTTTAAAAACACTGTTATAAGGTTATTTGAGTGAGGCTGCAATCCTGTGCTCATTTATCTGTGAGTAAACTACACTGAACGTGGCAAGAACTACTTCTGAGTAGACATGTACAGAATTGTACTATTCTAAGTTTTTATAGACTAGAGCTTGTGTTCTCAATTTTATGGATCTGTTTAATAAAAACTTATGCCATAATAAATTTGCTAAGTGCCAGAGGATGCTTCTTTGCCTCAACAGATGCTTTTCCAAGTGGAATTTGTTCACAATATGTTTTCTTAAATTTAAGACTTGGGTGCCTGGTAGCTAGTAAGAACTAAAAAAGCTTGGAAATTGACACGTGGTTTGAACTAGGCAATGGAACCAGGGAAAGTCTTTCAGCATTTATAGGTGGTGGGGTATTTTTTTAAAAAATAATATACTTAGCACAAGATGTGTCTCCTTTTACCATCTTGTTAGGATATGAAGGCTGCTTTGATCTATTGAGTTTGGCATGTGACAGCTTTCCCAAACGTGTGTGGTAGGCTACAGCACCCACCACCCTGTTAAGGTATGGTTAATAGGGATGCTGGGAGTTGTAGTCTAACACATCTGGGGGTCTCTTGCCTTGGGAAAGGCATAACTTTGATGTTGAAGCTGTAGCATTCCAAACAGTTGTTCTTAAGATTTCCCCCATAAAAACATACTAGGTTCTTTTGACTGAATTAAAAAAAAATACGTGCAGAAGAGATAAGCTTTCCCCAGCCTGGTGATCTCCACATGTATAACTGCTACTATCCTAGTCAGCATTATTAATAGGTATGACAGGGTTTATAATCCAATGTAGCTATCAGGCACCAAGCTGCAGAAGGCTAGAAATAGTGGAAGTAACTGCTTTTTAATATCTGCAGAGTTCTTTTGGTGCTTTCATTTGCTGATCTAATTGTCTCATTTTTTGAGAAGTGGAATAGAATGATTGATCAAAATATTGAAATCCTTGAACGGGCATTTTACTCCCTCTTTGATGACAGACTCTCTGGATCTAATAGCATGCACAAGTTGGCACACATTTAATAGGATACACAACTTGTTTTTATCCTATTGGAGAGGACCTTGGAATGTTTGGGTAATAAATCTATTATGACGACTGCTCAAAGAAATAACCTTTCCAGTTGGGATAGGTGGCTGGCTGTTTGGAAGCCCTGTTCAGCCTCCAGAACCTTCTTATGCCAGCTCCAGTACGGTTGCTTGTTGCACTGATGTCTGCTATCGGACATATGGGCAACTTTCTCCCAAACCAATATAAGAACAAAAGGTTCTTTAACTCACTCTCTCTAACTCACTCTCTCAGTGAACAGAAATGAAGCATTATTAGAGTCTTCTTTATGTACCTCAACCACAGATTTTTTTCATGGAAAGGCACCCGCAGGAGGGTGAGCAACCAAAGCTTACATCTCTGTCAAAGCCTCTCCAGCGTGAACAGCAATTGAGATGGAAGAGGACTTGTTTCATGAGCTATTTGATGTAGTTGGAGTGAGTCAGTGGATGGAGGCCATGCTGTTGCTTTTTTGGTGATGCTTCAAGTTCTGTTGCATAGAGGGCAAGGACTTGTCAGCTCCCCTAGAGGGTGGAATTAGACCTAATGGGTTTAAGTTGCAGGAGGTTTTGATTTGAGTATTGCCTGAAGTTTTTTTTAGTGGTAAGAGTATTTTGACAATGGAACCAGTTATTTTGTGGGGATTTAGGATCATGATGAACTCTCCTTTGCTGGAAGCTTTCAAGCAGAGGCTTGGAAAGACATCTTTTGGGAATGTTCTAGCTCTGAATTTCCCCTATTAAATGGGATAAAGGGAATGGCCTGCAAGAACCCTCCATTATTTTCAATTGAAAATAAACCTTCCTATTGCAATCTAGTTTGCAGTAATTAAATACATGCACATTTTATTTTAAAATCTACCAGCTGCTTTTCCAGGCAAAATTTGCTTAAAGGTGGCACACAGTACAAAACTCAAATGCAGGGAGTAAAACAACAGAAAGAAACTAAATAGAGCATTTAACCAGCACAAAGATAAAACTTCAGATTATCTGTCAAATGCCACATAAAAGTTTTAACTGGTCTCTTAAATGCAGAAAAGGAGGAACTGGATGGACCTTTGTGAGAGAGAATTCCATTATGGTATTTGTCCTTAAAGAAAGCTATAGAGCCTGATAAGTTTAGTGGCCCAGATAGACCTAGCACAGAGCTGAACTCCTGTAAAATGAAGCTTATTTGGAATGAAGAACTAAAAATTACTGCAATGTCAAAATGAATTGCATTCTTTAAGGTGTAGGAATGTCATTTTTGAATGCTCTCCCAGTACCTGTTAGTACAACCTGGTCATATTAGGGGCTAGGTTTTACCTTGGTACACTTTCTGTTGTCGTCATCGTCATTTTTAACCTTGTGGGAAGCTTCAAAAGAGAAGCTTCAGAAGATGGCACTCCTCCACCTGGATTCTAAGCAGTACTGTGTAACATGCTGATACACATACAAGAGGTCTCTAAGTCTTTGATTGAAATATGTTATACGTTTTATGTGTTTTTTGTATTTTGTATAGTTTCAGTACTGGTTTGGGGGAAATGTTTGGCAATCCTTTATTTTTATAACAAAATTCTAATTAAAAATAATTATTTTTATTTCTTAAAATCACTTAATTAAAAATAAAATTCATGACATAAGATTAAACAATTCAAATAACCAACACAATGTAAAAAATGAAATAAGAGCCAGTATGGTATAATGGTTAAGAGTGTGATACTGGGTCTTAATAGGTCTGGGTTCTAATCCCCACTCAGTCATGGAGCTCACTGGGTGACTTTGGGCCAGTCATACTCTCATCCCAACCTACCTTTTAATAATTGATAAATCCTAGAAACATATGCTACTACATTTTTATTTTAATACTTCATTTAAGTGTAAGGTCCCCCTTTCATATTATATTCAAAAACAGGAGAACAGGGGTTTTCTATTTTGTTGTGATACAGATTGCTATTTATAAGGCAAGGAACCTGGTTCTAGATATACAGCCTGATCTAGGTGTGAAATAATAGAAAAGGGTACACTTAAGACGGTGTGTTTTGTTATATCAGTTGATGTCATGAATTCTAACCAGGATTTATTTACTGAAATTGGCTGTTAACAGGCAGTTGGTAGATTCTGACATCTCCAATATTAGTTTTTCTAAAGATTCTGTATATGTTACATAGGTAAGGTATTTAGGTACAATCTGATTTGTAATTTAAAGAAACACTCCAACGTTTGACAGACTTCTCTTACATTTAGTTGATGTGTGATTTTCTCCTAGAACTTTTGGATTTATGTATACATGTGGGAGATAAATCCTCTGTATTCTGGAGAAAATGGTACCACCTGCATCTCAAATCTTTTTGAGTGGGTGAGGAGTATCAGACATTAATCTATGCATCGATCTACAAGTTTTCTGTTAATGTTGTATAAATATATGGTATTTGAAAGTACTGGAATAGTGATAGCCTTTCTCTGCCTGTCATTTGTGATGCAGGTATTTTGCAAAGATCAGCAGGTATGTTTGTCCGAATGAAACTGGCTTGAGATGCCTAGTGAAAGATAATGCAGGAAGCATACTATATTTAAGAATGCGGAGGGGGAAATATATGAGGATGTAACATAGAAGCAGCTATTTTCTGTTGCTTCAGAACAGTCACATTTGGATGCAGATTAAAATAGCAGTTCAGAGACTGGGGTTTTTTGTTTTTGTTTTGGCAGTTAAATGTAAAATTTAGCCAATATTCAAATCCAAATGAGTTTAGGATTGTGGCCTTGTGTCCAAATCATGGGTACACCAGAAACATTACTATTTACAGCTGCTGTTGTAGAGACAGAGTATTGTCTCCTGTGCACCAGGATTTTGCACACCCAATATAGCAGATCTGGATACAGGTGACTGCACTTCAGAATGGTGTGTGTTGGATGAGAGCCATTGACGTCATTTTTGTGGTGAAGGGAGTGAATACAGGTTTGTTGCTGGAACTACTATTGTAATTGCCTTCACTGACAAAAAATAGACTAAATTTTGTTAAAAGCAGGCATTATTGTTTGCTTGGGTGATGTATAAGTTGTATATGCAAATTATGACCCATTCGTTGCATATTATATTGTGTTGTGTGAGGGGTGCAGACCCATCTCCCCAAAGCAGGCTGTTCCATGCAGTCTCCTGAAAAGGCTTTCTCTAGACTCAAATAACAGTTACTTCAATTGGCTTGTAGTAGATGGGGAGGTTTAAACTGCTTATCATTGTATAGTGCAGTTATGCCTCCTTCTTGCCAGTTAGCTGGGAAATGGGGAGATGCCTCACATAAATATGCTCCTTGCAAAAGTTTAACACGGTTGGGAAGTAGGATTTGCTAGGAGAACAAGTCCCATCACCCCTTTCCCAGCCCAGTAGTGGCAGCACTGCAGGAGTGGTGGTTATGGACGGGGGCTTCTGGCAGATAGGGCACCCATGGTAGTTTATGCGGGAAGTTTCCCATGGTCAGATGTTGCACATCCCTGTGGTATCATGCTAGCCATAATGTTGTCCATTGAATTCTGGGGAAAGTAAAAAGAACAATTCAAGGGCTACAGAGTGAAAAGTCTGGCACTGGCAGATCTTCACAGTATTTTGCAAATACTGGAAAGTGACAAGTCAAGTAAGAGTCTGAGCTTTTGATGAGTCATCCAGGAAGAGAACTTGGTAAGGCAGTTCATTGCAAGACTGAAGAGGTGAGGTACTAACATGG